GCCTTCCCAAGCTCCTCTGCCTCTCCCTGGCCTTGTTTGCCAGGAGCCAAGTGAGGGTCTGTGTTAGGCTAGGGCAGGATTTTTCACACTGCAGGATGCAGCTCATTACTGGAGCATGGACTCAATTTAATATGGTAGGGCCAGCATTTTTTTTTTTTTTTGCAAAAGATTAGCCCTGAGCTAACATCTGCTGCCAATCCTCCCCTTTCTGCTGAGGAAGACTGGCCCTGAGCTAACATCCGTGCCCATCTTCCTCTACTTTATATGTGGGACACCTACCACAGCATGGCTTGCCAAGTGGTGCCGTGTCCACATCCGGGATTCAAAGTGGTGAACCCTGGGCCACTGAAGCTGAATGTGCGAACTTAATGGCTGCGCCACCGGGCTGGACCCCCAGTATTTTTTTTTTTTTAAAGATTTTATTTTTTTCCTTTTTCTCCCCAAAGCCCCCTGGTACATAGTTGTATATTCTTCATTGTGGGTCCTTCTAGTTGTGGCATGTGGGATGCCGCCTCAGAGTGGTCTGATGAGCAGTGCCATGTCCGCGCCCAGGATTCGAACTAACGAAACACTGGGCCGCCTGCAGCAGAGCGTGCGAACCCAACCACTCGGCCACGGGCCCAGCCTCTGGACCCCCACTATATTTTGAATAAATATAAAACAGTAGAAATTATAATAATATTTTTTTGTAGTAAAGTACTTACCATAGTAGTAAAGGTATTATTTTGTCACTTTTTAATTTCAGATATTTATATATATGTGTGTGGATGGTGGGTCATAATTTAAATGAAAATCTTATAGATCGTGGTCAGAAGTTTAAAAGGCAAGACAAGAGGGTCGGGGCTGGCCCCGTGGCTGTGTGGTTAAGTTCTCGCACTCTGCTTCGGCGGCCCAGGGTTTTGCCTGTTCGAATCCTGGGCGTGGACATGGCACTGCTCGTCAGGCCATGCTGAGGAGGCATCCCACATGCCACAACTAGAATGACCCACAACTAAAAATACGCAGCTATGTACCGGGGGACTTTGGGGAGAAAAAGGAAAAATAAAATCTTTAAAAAAAAAAAAAAAGACAAGAGGGTAGTTCCTGTCTCCTCCCCCATCCCAGAGAAGCTTTCTTCTCTCTCTTTTTTTTAAATAATAATATAGAACAGTCCCCTGAGTGGTGAAGGCTTTCCAGGAGATGAGGATATTTTGGGGCCATGATGAGTGTTTGCGTTTCATTTAAAATATGAGCTAGAGGCTTCTGATTTGCCTGATAGCACCCTGTATGTACCTCTGTTGCACCACTGATCCCACTGTGTTGGAATTGTCAGTAGTGCATCTGTCTCCCCCATAAAATTGTGAGTTCCTTGAAGGCCAGGACTGGGATTTCCTACTCTTGATTCCCAGTGCCTAACAAGGTGCCTGGCCCTTAGTCACCATGCAGTATGGATGCTGAATGAGTTCAGACGGGAAGATGGGGTAGCATTGTTTTCCAGTATGTTGATCCACCTTCAGCTGGTTGTCTTTCTCTTTTTAGCAAAAACGAAAGCTGCGGATCTATATTTCCAATACATTCAGTCCCAGCAAGGCGGAAGGTGATAGTGCAGGAACCGCAGGGACCCCCGGGGGAACCCCAGCAGGGGACAAGGTGGCTTCCTGGGAACTTCGAGTGGAGGGAAAACTGCTGGATGATGTAAGTTGGGGAAGAGATGTCTGGAGGGTAGGTGGCCTGTGTGGGTTTAAGACTGGGGCCAGGCACTGGCCCACTTCTGGAGAAGGCCTGCCTGAGGAAGAGAGCGCTGCTTGTGGTCACGCTCTGCATAGCTCCAAGCCAATTAAAGGTTTAAGATTTGTGTGGTTACTACAACAGTTCTCCTGCAGATGGCAGTAAAGTGTCTTGAGAAAAGGGTACCCCTTTCTAATACAGTCCTTTCTTGACTAGCAGTGGGGCTGCATAGAAAGGCCTTTCCCTGCCTCTAGTCGCTCACTTTTCCCGGAGTCTAACTGCTTCCTTCAGGGCCCAACATTCTTCAGTACCCTGAGCTTCAGGATTCAAACAATGCTCCTCTTTTTTGGGCGTAGCATAGCTTAGGTTTGAGAGCTCAGCAGCACACCCATCTCACACCCCTTCCCATCCCCAGCCTAGCAAACAGAAGAGGAAGTTTTCTTCATTCTTTAAGAGCCTCGTCATTGAGCTGGACAAGGAACTGTATGGGCCTGACAACCACCTGGTGGAGGTGAGAGTGTACCTGGGGCATGGGGAGCACAGGCTGCCATGCAGGGTGGGCAGAAAAGTGGTGTTGGTCCCCTTGGAGTGCCAGGTGTGTACGTTCATGCCCACCGCCTTGTGATGAACTCTGCTCCCCTCTTCCCTGCCAGTGGCACCGGATGCCCACCACCCAGGAGACAGACGGTTTCCAGGTGAAACGGCCTGGAGACCTCAATGTCAAGTGCACCCTTCTGCTCATGCTAGATCATCAGGTGACAAATGTGTTGGGGCCATAGGGACTCATCTAGGGGAGTGGGGGAGGTTCCTATTGTAAACCCTTCTCGTCCCTGCTCTACTCTTCCACTTTGTTTTTTCACAAGAACCCCTCCTCTGACTCCCCTCTGTCCATCCCCAGCCTCCCCAGTACAAGTTGGACCCCCGATTGGCGAGGCTGCTGGGGGTGCACACACAGACAAGGGCCGCCATCATGCAGGCCCTGTGGCTTTATATCAAACACAATCAGCTGCAGGACGGGCACGAGCGCGAGTACATCAACTGCAACCGGTACTTCCGCCAGGTCAGCTGGGATGCCGTCCCTCCTCTAGCCTCACAGCCTCTACCTTGCCCGCTGCTCCAGAGCCCCACTGGGCTAGTCGTGGCCACATTCTTCACACTGACCCTGGGATGGTCCACTTCTCCCTGTGCCTTCAAAGGTATGAGTAAGTTTTTGGTACTCTCTCCAGATCTTCAGTTGTGGCCGACTCCGTTTCTCTGAGATTCCCATGAAGCTGGCTGGGTTGCTGCAGCATCCAGACCCCATTGTCATCAACCATGTCATTAGGTAAATGGAAAGCAGGGGATGGAAAGGCTCTTATAAGCCAAAGAGCAGCAGCAGGTTTGGTTTTCTGCTCCCTCAGTGTATACAGGTTTGGCCCAGGTGAGTGGGATGGATACAGCTATGTGCTCACCCCTTCCCTCCTCTGTGCTGCCTGTAGTGTGGACCCTAATGACCAGAAGAAGACAGCCTGTTATGACATCGATGTGGAGGTGGACGACCCACTCAAGGCCCAGATGAGCAATTTTCTGGCCTCTACCACCAATCAGCAGGAGATTGCCTCCCTTGATGTCAAGGTGGGCCTTCTGTCTCCCCACCCTCCTCTGGGACCCACGATGGGTGTGGGCAGGCTCTGTCGGGCATTTCTGTACACATAGCACCTTGGGATGGGACCTCTGTCCAAGTCCTTTGGCGTCAGGCTTAGAAACAGACCCCCTGGGGGTGGGGGCCACTCTGACATGTGTACCCCCTTTCCCCAGATCCATGAGACCATTGAGTCCATCAACCAGCTGAAGACCCAGAGGGATTTCATGCTCAGCTTTAGCACTGACCCCCAGGACTTTATCCAGGAATGGCTCCGTTCCCAGCGCCGAGACCTCAAGGTACAGCCTCCTTTCTTGAGGCTGATCCCATGCTAAGCTCTGAGCTATTTTTACCTCCACCTACTCTTCTTCTGGATCTAGGGGCAGATTGGCTCAGGATGGGAATTGTGGGACAGCTTACCTCCTGGCTCTTTGCAGATCATCACTGATGTGATTGGAAATCCTGAGGAGGAGAGACGAGCTGCCTTCTACCACCAGCCCTGGGCCCAGGAAGCAGTGGGGAGGCACATCTTTGCCAAGGTGAGGCTCTGCCCTGTTTGCCCTCTTGTGGTGGTGAGCAACAGAGGCCTAAGCTGCTGTTCTCTCCCTTTTCCAGGTGCAGCAGCGAAGGCAGGAACTGGAACAGGTGCTGGGAATTCGCCTGACCTAACTGCTCAGGGATCCCTTCCTTTTTTCCCAGCCCTGGAGCCATCCTCTCCTCAGCCTGGAAGGGGACCACCCTCTGGGGCCTCAGACATGTAGAATAAGGATGGGGTGAGGGGTATCTCCTGTCACCCTCTGCTCCCCAGCTTTAGTTTCATAAATGTAGTGATAGGATTCTTTGTTGCTTGGTCCCCAAAGCCTTATTACTTACTTTATATGTTGGCTTTAATTGGGTTCACAACAGATGCCTCCTCTGCCCCCTGCAGGCAGGCCCAAGTAGGACTGCTGGTGGCTGTGCTTTGACATAGTAACGGAGACATTTCAGAACCAAAGGCCGCTGGCTTTGCTTGTTTACAGACTCCCTGTTGGGGCAAGTGTCAGAGCTGGCTCCTGGGAGCTGGGCAAGGAAGAGGAGCACAGCTCACACTCTTCCTAGCCTTTCTAAACCAAAGTTCTTTGCCATTCCTACCAGCCCAGCCTTGCTGCTGGTTTTTTCCTTTCCTTTGGGTATTTGCACTATTTTGGGGAGCAGGTTTTTCTATGCGGGAGCCACTTTTTTTGTACAGGGGTAAGTTGGGGTTTTTCAGGGAGCCCTATTCGGTGCCTCCTTCCTTATTTTCTTTCCTCAATCTATGCAAGCGGCTCGGTCCGCCATCATCTCCTGGGATGCCAGAGGGCTGCCACCCCAGCTGTTGGGCCCAGGGTGGTAAAGCCTCCTTGAGGGAGGGGACTCCAGTTCTCTGGCATGGCCTGAGGTATGGGCGTAGTTGTGGAGGGCAAGGGAGGCGGGGAGGACTGTTGTTGCCCTTTGGAGCTTGGTAAGGAGGGGGTGCCCAGGGCTTGGCAAGTGCCACTTTTGGCAGGTTTGGAAACTTCCAAATAAATCCTTGTTTATTGATGGTCCCCAAACCTGGTCATTGAATAGTGCCGCCACTCATTAACAGACTGAACTCCTAGAGGACTTGTCCTGCAGACCTTTATTTGAGGGATCCACACAAAGGACAGCCACCTCACTTCCAAAGCTTCTTGATGGACATGTTTTTCTCACTATCCTTCTGCATGACCTGGAGAGAAGGAGCATTAAGTTGTAAATTGGCTGAACATATGCCCTATCCCCACTGCTCCAGAACCACCATGAGCAAAGGCTTGCGAAAAGATGGAGGACTCTACCTTGGCTACTGCCATCTCAAAGTCCTCCTGGGTGACATGGACTCGCCGTTCCCGCAGGGCATACATGCCAGCTTCGGTGCACACACCCTGAGCAGGGAAAGGAAGGCAGGCACTATTGCTGTGCCCTTGAACCCAAAACTTCCTGCTTCTGCCCCCTTTCCCTTGGGCATTCCAGTTACCTTCACTTCAGCCCCTGATGCTCCTGGCATGAGCTCAGCAATTTTTCTCAGGTTGATCCCCCGAGTCAGGTTCATTTTCCGAGAATGGATCTTCAAAATGTCCAGCCGGGCCTGGCAATGGGAGAGGGAAGGTTTGAGCCCCACAGCTTACCCCATAGCCAGAGCCACTTCCAGCACTGCCTATCACAAACCTCCTCGTTGGGGGGTGGGAATTCAATTTTTCTGTCGATGCGCCCTGGGCGAAGCAGCGCTGAATCCAGGATATCAATCCTATTAGTCGCCATAATAACCTGAGTGGAGAAATGGGGTGGCATCAGCTAGGCCCTTCCTCAGACTGCATGTCACCCAGGGCCTTCCCTCAGCCCACCCCAAGATGCCACCTTACCTTGATATTCTTGGTGGCCTCAAAGCCATCCAGCTGGTTGAGCAGCTCCAGCATTGTGCGCTGCACTTCACTGTCCCCTCCAGAACCTCCCTCCAGTCGTGAGGAGCCAATGGAGTCGATTTCGTCCATGAAGATGATGGATGGAGCATGTTCTCGTGCCATGACAAACAGCTCCCTCACCATTCTTGCCCCTGTGCAGAGGCCAAGCTGGCATTAAGGAGCTGATGAGCTCCAACCTTCACCTCCACCCCTTCATTTCCATTTGGTTTTCCTATTTTTAGCCACATGATTTACCTTCCCCAATGAATTTCTGTACCAATTCAGAGCCAGAGACACGAATAAAGGTACAGTCTGTATGATGAGCCACAGCCCGGGCCAACAGTGTCTTCCCAGTGCCTGGGGGTCCATAGAGCAACACTCCCTAGAGAGAAACAGCGGGAGTGAGGGCAGAAAGCCGGCCCCCTCATTACTGAGGGCTCGCTCTGTGCTAGATGCTAGGGATACAAAACATGTATGTTACAGTCCTTTCTGGAGCTTATATCTGAACCACCTCAGTGTGCTGGCAACATCTCACCCCCTGGCCCCTCTTTAGCAGGGAGGGTTGGCTTAAGAAGGCTGTTGTCTGTCCCAACTCCTGTGCTCAGTCTGGCCTGGGACAGGAGGTGTACAGCACAGCACAGGCCTCCCACAAAAGGCCCGCTTCTTACCTTGGGCTGCGCAATGCCCAGCGCTTCAAAGAGCTCAGGATGCTTAACAGGCAGCTCGATCACTTCTTTGATCTCCTTGATCTGCTTGTCTAGTCCGCCAATCATCTCATAAGTTGAATCTGGTACCTTCTCCACCATCATCAGTGAAACCAGTGGGTCTACCTTGTTGGGCAGGATCTTGTGCAGAGTGTAGCTGTCATTTCTTAGAGCCACCCGGCAATTGGGTGTCACCTGGGCAAGAGGAGAGTGTTTCAGGAAGTGGCATGGTGAGAGCCGACCCCAACCTCCCACCTCCCTTGCTGCACTCACATCATTGATATCGATGTTCTTGTCCACGTCTACAACAAACTTGCCCTCAGGATGTACCTAAAGACACAAGGGCTCGTGACCTTCCCTGACAGTCACCAAATCACCAACTTCACCCAGGAAGACCCATGAGTCCTAGAATAACACGACAGGACAGTGTCCTCCACACAAAAGTATGGAAATGCAGTGGGCAATGGGCTGGTCCCTGGGGTCACGCTGCTTTTACCTTAACCAACACTTTCTTCTTATCCATGGCCCGGACTACTTCCCCGACGTAGGAGCCCTGTTCCTGCAGCAGCTGTAGCTCCTCCCGCAACAAGCGAACTAGATGCGAAACAGACATGGTGGTCACCCAGCTTTTTTGGTGTTCCTTTCCCCAATGACTCAATTTGATATGCATGAACTAAGCCCCATTTTAAAGTCTTGAAGGGAAGGCCACAAAAAGAAAGTCAAAATTCATGTCTTTAAGGAGGTTACAGTGGTGTTCAGGAGAAAGATGTGCATGTGAACAGCTGTCTAACTGCAAAGCATCATCTTGGACTGGGAGGAAACAATAAGCACCACTGTGAAGACTCACTTCAGGGAAATTTGAATAGTCAGACCTCAGACAAACTGACCACATGCAGCCTTCCCATCCTTCCGCCCTCACCTTTTGCATTAAGCTCATTCCTCTGTGCCTGCAGCCTCCGGAGATTTTGGCTCTTGTCATTCACAATCAGCTGTGGAGGACAGAAACAAAGGGCAGAAAACAGTTGAAGGTTAAGATCTTAGCCAAGATTCTCATAGGCTGGTACGAGCTGAGTGAGGGAAGAGCACAGGACACCTGCACGTTGTTTCAGATTCTCCAATATGATCCTAATGACCCTGTTCTGTCCTCCAAGAGTCCCTCTGGAACCTAGGGCAGCCACCACAAAAGGCTGCTTGTCCATCACTGGTCCAGGAATCCCAAGCTCTAATGGAGGAAAGTTACAGCTGGCTCAGGTAGTTAGTTTCCTGCAGGGCAGTAACATGGCAGAGTGGGCAGATCTTTGAGTCAGAAGCCTAAGTTCTGGTCCCGCTGCTGCCAAGTAACAGCTTGGTAGAGCTAAAGAAAGCCATTTAAAAGGTCTAGATGTGTTACTGAACTGCAAGTAAGTATAGCATGATCTACCCTGCCTCTCTTCAGGACTACTGTGAGGAACAAACAAAATCACACATCATTTCAAACAGGATAAACCAAGTATAACACCTGCAGTGTTAAATGGAGTTCAGAAGTTTTCCTTATGGCTTTCCTCCATCCAATTTATGTTAGTCATTGCCCTTATTTCTATGGTCCCTGCTCCCTCTTTAGGCTAGAGCACTGGGCTGCCCAATCCCTTTTCATTCAGTCGCACAGAATCAACATTGTCCAGACTCCTTAACTCCGTCTTCCCTCGCACTCTCACTCTGCTCCAACCCTTCTCTAATAAATCTCATCTCAGGAATCTATGAGTCTTTTTATAAGGAACTCTCTCATTCAGGCTTCTTCCAAAAGGAATGGCCTTTGGCTAGGGGTACCTCTGCAGTTAAAATTTGACTCTTGAAGATGTGTAACGAACTGTGAATACTGATCACCTTCAAAGGGGTGGGATTTGAGGGGAACAGGAGGCTTAACTTCATATACTTCACATCATTGCCTCGTTACTTCTTCCACTGCGCCCCCAGTGGAATTATACGGATTTGTTGAAATCTGCTCCATCAATCCTCCATCCCCCTTCTAGCTCCCTCTGGATCTCTGCAGTCTGTCCTCACCTGGAGTTCTTCAATCTTGGACAGATAATACTGGCGGAGTCCACTGCCTGCCTTCCCCTCTTCCAGCTCCATCTGAAGACACAGCGTAATTATTACACAACAGGCTAAACATCGAAGAGATAAAGCCACTTCCAGCTTGGACTTCGGAGGTTTAAGATTTGGGTTCTGATGCCTCATGCCATCTCTTCAGAAGCCTCCATTTCCCCATGAGCAAACTAAAAGCAGAATGAGAATGCCGCCTACCTCATAAGACTTTCGGGAGGATCAGGAGAGGACACACACGGGAGCGCTTTGCACCGAATCTAGCGCTGTACAAACCCGAAGTGTTACTACAGGCGGAGCCAGGAGGAAGAACGGGTGCCCTGCTTCCTGCGACTCGCGGACGGCCCGGTTCCCGCTCCCATCGCTCCTCTCACTCCGCTTCCACCGTGTCTTCCTCTCCCGTCCCTGCCTTGAGCCGCTGGGGGCGGCGCTGACACAGCAGATCCGGTCACAGGCAGGGCCCAGTCTGGACTGGTCCACCCACCCCGGAACCATCCGACCCTCCTGCCCCGGCCCGCTGCCCACCTCGGATCCAGCCTGCTCCGCATCCAGCCCTGGTCCCCGCCCGGCCGCCGCCGCCGCCATACCTGTTCTGGTCCGTCAAGCGCCATCTTCCCTCTTCCGCGGAGACCGCCGGCATCCAAGCCTCCTTGGTGCGCATGCGCAGAAGCAGGGGCCTGGGGCCCGAAGACGCGGGAGAAAAGTTCCGGGTCAAGGGGCGGAGTGTGTGGAGAGACGACAACAGATAATATGGGACATGATGGGAGGGGGTCCGCGAGGCCAGGCGCTTTGGGAGATGATGAAAAGGGCACAGAACCCCTAAGTGTTACTCTCTAGAAACTCAGTTTTAGTCCAAGTAGTCTTCTCTCCTTTTCCCAGTTTCCAGCTTTTAAGATGTGGGAACAAAGGATTTATACAGGAACTTGTGTGGCCACACTCAAAATGGCGGAAAATTTGGAGTCTGGGACGCAAGCGACGCAAGCGGAAGCGGAAGTACGTTTGCTGTTACATGTGCCGCTCCAACGAGGGGAGAAAACCGCGCTGGGTCGGGGTGAGTGGTGTGTGGTGGAGTGGTGTGGGATAAGGCGCAGAGTGTGGTTGCTAAGGCAGGTGGGGAACGGAAAGCAGAGTCTAGTGCTCCAGGAAGAGGCGTTCCAATTCCTGCTTTCTCCCCAGATTGAGTGACACTCCCCGGTTCCACCATGGGCAAGAAGGGTAAAGTCGGGAAGAGTCGGCGGGACAAATTCTATCACTTGGCAAAGGAGACCGGTGAGTCACGGTTCGCGCTGTCTGCGAGCGAGCGAGCGAGCGGTCCTGGCCGGTCCACCGCTCTTTCGGAGTATTGAGTTTCTCTTCGGCATAAGAGTTGGTGGGTTGGGTTGCGAGGCTGCAGAAATCCCGTAGGCAGAGCGCTCCGCGGACTTTATTATTTTGTCGCGGCTCCCAGGTTACCGTTCCCGCTCTGCTTTCAAGCTGATCCAGCTGAATCGCCGCTTTCAGTTCCTGCAGAAAGCTCGAGCCTTGCTGGACCTGTGTGCTGCGCCAGGGGGATGGTACGTAACACCTGGCACCTGTCGCTATTGATGGCAGCTTTCTGGGTTCCGGCCTTGAATGTCTGAGTTGGGGGAGAGGTTGGAGGGGTGGTAATACCAACCTTAAATTTTTCTATTCTTCAGAACATAGACTGCAGAGGAAAGGTTTGGAACGTGTACGTGTGACATTCTATGGCCAGTGCATTTGTCATGGGCCCCTAACACTGGGGGTGAGAGATTTCATTGCCAAGGGAGGGGAAGGAACAGTCCTGGGTATTTCAATCGTTATTTCTCTTTTATAGGCTGCAGGTGGCTGCCAAGTTTATGCCAGTATCCAGCCTTATTGTGGGTGAGTGACAGGAGGCTCTCCTGGGTGTTTTAGGTGGTGGGAGTGTGAGCTACTGACTGTTCTACGTTTCGTTCCTCCCTGCTTGAAGCAGCCTTTTCAAATAGTCTGACCTGATTTCTTCCAGGAGTGGACCTGGTTCCAATCAAGCCTCTTCCGAATGTGGTGACACTCCAGGAGGACATCACAACAGAACGCTGTCGGCAGGTAATAGGAATCTCTCCCTGTCCCTTATGTAAACATGCCTAGCCATCCCTCTTCCCACCCCACATCCCCTGAAGGCAAGATTTTCTCTTTACCATACTTTGAGCAGTGCCTACAAAAGACCTCTAACAAGGCCGGGATAGGCCTAGTGTCCGCTGGCAGCCTTTTTTTAATTTTTTTTTTAAGATTTTATTTTTCCTTTTTGTCCCAAAGCTCCCTGGTACATAGTTGTGTATTTTTAGTTGTGGGTCCTTTAGTTGTGGCGTGTGGGATGCCACCTCAGCATGGCCTGATGAGCCCTGCCATGTCCGCGCCCAGGATTCAAAGTGGCAAAACCCTGGGTTGCTGAAGCGGAGCGCGCGAACTTAACCACTCAGCCACGGCGCCAGCCTCTCCACTCCAGCCTTTATTTAGTCAGGAATGAAGTGTTTGGAATTGGAAGAAGTGCAGAGATTTCAGTGAAGTCCTTTCTAGTGGGCTCACTAGTAGGCTGTAAGTTCTGTGAAGACAGAGACATGTTGTTTTTATCATTGTATCCTTTGTGCTTGGCACAGGATTTGGCCCCTGGTGAGCACTCAGCAAATGACTGAGTGGACACATGGCTGTACCAAGGACTCCATTCATAGCCATTCCTGCGTTTCTCTTGCCATTATCCTTTTTCTTTGTAGGCCCTGAGGAAGGAGCTGAAGACCTGGAAAGTTGATGTTGTGCTCAATGATGGGGCCCCCAACGTTGGGGCTAGCTGGGTCCATGATGCTTACTCGCAAGGTGCTGGGAGTGAGGGGAGTGGAAAAAGGGTGGAGGCGGAGGTGGGCATGACTTCTCAGGCTGCAGAGGTCCTCAGCTAACTCTCTCTCTCCCATAGCCCATTTGACATTGATGGCTCTGCGTTTGGCTTGTGATTTCCTGGCCCGTGGTGGCTGCTTCATCACAAAGGTTTTCCGTTCCCGTGACTATCAGCCCCTACTGTGGATCTTCCAGCAGCTGTTCCGCCGTGTCCAGGCCACCAAGCCCCAAGCCTCCCGCCATGAATCTGCAGAGATCTTTGTAGTCTGCCAAGGTGGGCATCACTTCTTTCTCTTTACTTCATCTCTCAGTTATCAAAGCACACTTTCTCATATGTTCTATCATCTTAGGATTCCTGGCTCCTGACAAGGTTGACAGTAAATTCTTTGACCCCAAATTTGCCTTTAAGGAGGTTGAAGTTCAGACAAAGACTGTTACTGAGCTGGTTACTAAGAAGAAGCCAAAGGTGTGTTTGGAGAATGGGGCCACCCTCAGGTCCTAGAACTATGGGGAGGCTGGGCCTGGTGGGTTGTATAGACACCCCAGAAGGGACTGCTCAACCTTCTTTATCTTCCTCCCTAAGGCTGAGGGCTATGCCGAGGGCGACCTCACTCTCTATCACCGTACCTCAGTCACTGACTTCCTCCGAGCTGCTAACCCTGTTGACTTCCTCTCCAAAGCCAGTGAGGTAAGTCCTCAAACTTGAGGGGTGTAAGAGTCCCAGAAACATGGCCTGAGAATCTCTCCTGACTCCTTTCTCTGCTCCCAAACAGATCTCGCTAGATGATGAAGAGTTGGCACAGCATCCAGCTACCACTGAGGACATACGGGTGTGCTGTCAGGACATCAAAGTGCTGGGGCGCAAGGAGCTTAGGTATGTGGTGGGAGCGAGTGTAGGTGCTAAGAGCCCTAAAGGCAGGGAAAGGCCTTTCAAGGCCATAATGTTGGATCTCTGGGAACAGGATGCCGCTGTGTTAGAGGTTTGGGATGGAGGCCTGAGCCCTAGGATTTATGTGGCTCAAGAGTGAAATTTGGAGTGTGGACCTAAAACAGAGGAAGGGGCAGGGACAAAGGGAGGCTGTAAGGTCAGTAATGGTATTTCTGGGTCAGGTCCCTACTGAACTGGAGAACGAAGCTTCGGCGATATGTGGCCAAGAAGCTGAAAGAGCAAGCAAAGGCACTGGACATCAGGTGAGAAGAGAACTAAACCAAGGTAGGTGTTGGCTAGGTGTTGAGGGGAAGCATCTGGGGAAATAACCAGATTCCTTGGACTGTTTTGTCAGCCTCAGCTCAGGAGAGGAAGAGGAAGAAGGTAATGAAGAGGAGTCAACAGCCAGGACCGTGAGGCAGCCCTCTAAGGAGGAGGAGGAGGAGGAACAACTGAACCGAACCCTGGCAGAGATGAAGGCCCAGGAGGTGGCAGAATTAAAGAGGTGAGGGGAGCAGGGGAGGAGCTTGGGGAACCCCACTACAGAGTTCCTCAGTGTGCGAAGATGGGGGAAGAGAATGAAGGCATGGATAGGGAATCTTCAGAGGTGGGTAGGTTTAATCCCTCAACTCATTCCCTCAGGAAGAAGAAGAAGCTGCTGCGTGAGCAGAGAAAGCAACGGGAACGTGTGGAGCTGAAGATGGATCTGCCTGGGGTTTCCATCGCAGATGAGGGGGAGACTGGCATGTTCTCCCTACGCACCATTCGGGGTCACCAGGTGACGCGGGACTGGGGCAGGCGGAGATAGGAGGATCTGTATGGGTATTTGGCGGGGGTGGGTGGGGCACTCGATGTCTTTTTTTTTTTAAGTGTGCTGAATGATCTTGGCTCATGGTTGTCCTCACCTGTAAAATGACTTGATGAGGGGAGACTGTTGAGGAAAAAACAAGAGCCTCGTGTCTCAAAGGCCTGGAAGGAACATATGCCTGTGATGATGTAACTAGGAAGATTTATGACTAAACATAGACTTATTCTTGTAGAACTAGATTATATTCAAGAGGTACTCTTTGCAAGAAGCTTAGGTTATAGAAGACACAGCCAGGGTACCTGGGTCACTAGCATGAGTGATGGAGGGTTTCCCTGAGAGGGGAACAGCATTCTTCTGCTCACTGCAGTCAAGTTAGCACTTTGCTACACTAGCCTACTGGATGGTGCTTTCTGCCAAAATACTGAAGAACTTGCTTTTCCTGATAAAAGGAGCGTCACAAACAAAATGAGCTCTTGTTGCTCTTGTGTGGGAATGGAAAACCAGGTCATCTTGTACAGGAGAGGCAGTGGAGCAGGGTAGTCCTGGAGCAGACTACCACTTATCCATTCCTTGTCTGTATAAAAGAATAATAGAACCTACCTACAAGGGTTTTTGGGAGGGAAAAAAAAATGGTTAGGTGTAATCCCTGGTATGTGATAAACACTCAAGAAATAGTAGCTATCTTTGCCATGAGGAAAATAAGATTTTTGAGGCTCATGATTGGTTTATAAATGAAACTATTCTCCCTGTTAGGTGTATGTCGCCTGGGCGCCTTTATTCAGTGGAAACAAATTTGTAGCTTGTATTCTCAGAAGCTGATGAGGTGTCTTCTAATTTTTTAAGAAACACCAACTTTTTTTTTTTCTTGAGGAAGATTAGCCCTGAGCTAACTACTGCCAATCTGCCTCTTTTTGCTGAGGAAGACTGGCCCTGAGCTAACATCCATGCCCATCTTCCTCCACTTTATATGTGGGATGCCTTACCACAGCATGGCATGCCAAGCAGTGACACGTCCACACCCAGGATCTGAACCAGCGAACCCTAGGCCACCAAAGCGGAATGTGCGTGCTTCACCGCTGTGCCACCGGCCGGCCCCCCAACGTTTTATTAAGAACATTTTAAGTTATGACATTTTATAGGCCGTAGGATCCTTTCCTGTAAACCTATTTCTGCTCCCACTGAAGACGAGACAGCTGAATGGGATAGATCAGTGACCCAGCCTAGAATGGGATGTTTTAAATACTTAGACCCATTACTTCCCTGCCTGTAAAAAGAGATAACGTATTTGTCACAGTGTATTTCCTAGTTGCTGAGGATAAACTAAGTTAATAGACAAAGAACAAAAAGCCTATGTTTCTTTAAGTACCTCTGACTTGTTTCTCTGTCAAATCTCAGTTGTTAGAGAAGGTAACAGCAGGGGATATGAGCGCTGCAGACACGTTTCTGACAGATCTGCCAAGAGATGACATCTATGTATCAGATGTTGAGGATGACAGTGCCTCTCTGGATAGTGACCTGGATCCAGAGGAGCTAGCAGGAGTTGGAAGACCTCAGAGGCTAAGGGACCAAAAGCGGTAAGGGGGGTGTGTGCAGGAGGGAATGCTGACACTCTCAGCTCGAGTTCTGAAGCAGAGAAGGTGGCAGGTATTGCCAGAGGGAGTAGGGAGAGCAAGTCCTCCACGGCACTGACCTTCCAACCATGTTCCTTGGGTTTACAGTGTACAATTTGCTAAAGTAGAAGATGATGAAAAAGAAGAGGAGGAAGAAGAGAATCCACTGCTGGTGCCACTGGAGGAAAAGGCAGTCCTGCAGGAAGAACAGGCCAACCTGTGGTTCTCAAAGGTAAGAGGCTGGAGGCCCAGACAGACAGGGAAGTGGCATTCCCTGGGAGAAGGGTGGCTGAAGACTCCCCCTGTCACAGGATGGCTTCAGTGGAATTGAGGATGATGCTGATGAGGCCCTAGAGATCAGTCAAGCCCAGCTGTTGTACGAGAGCCGCCGGAAGGGACAGCCACCATCACCTTCCAGTTTGAAGACTGAGAGAAAACCTCCCCAGTGCCGGGATGAGGCTGCTAAGGGGGCAGAGGCTCCTTCAGGGACAGAGGCTGCCACTGGCCCTGGAGAAGAAAAAAGAGATGGCAGCTCAGACAGTGACAGCAGTAGCAGTGAGGATGAAGAGAGGTGAGTGGTTGCATCTGATGGGAGAAGGGATGAAAAGGAAGCAATAGTTCTAACCATTTCTTTCTAAGTTGGGAGTTTTCAACCTTGGCTGTAGATGGAGAGCTTTAAAACTACTCATGATTCTGATCTAAGTGGTCTGCAAGATAGCCTGGGTGAGAGGATTTCTGGAAGTTCCCCAAGCAGTTTTAAATAGGAACCAGGGTTGTGGTGAGGCGGGCATGGGTCTGAGTGGTGTGGGGAATGGAGAAACCCATGCACAGTCCTCCCCTCTTCCACAGTTGGAAACCACACCGCAGTAAGAAGCGAAGCCGTAGGCCTGAGTCACAAGATGATGATGGGTTTGAGATAGTGCCTATAGAGGACCCAGGTGAGAGCTCTGTACCTAGTGGAATGGGAAGAAACAATGGAAGTTTCAGTGTTGGGAATTGAGCTTTGACTTTTCTCCTTCTCTCTCTAGTGAAACATCGGATACTGGACCCTGAAGGCCTTGCTTTAGGTGCTATTATTGCCTCTTCCAAAAAAGCCAAGAGAGACCTCATAGATAACTCCTTTAATCGGTAAGGGGGCCAGAAAATCATGAGAAGTGTTCCAGGGTGGGTGGGTAGTCAGTGATTTCTTCTTTAGAAAGCCTGGAATAGTCATTGGGGCTGATGTCCTCTCCACCTAGGTATGCGTTTAATGAGGATGAGGGGGAGCTTCCAGAGTGGTTTGTGCAGGAGGAAAAGCAGCACAGGATACGGCAATTGCCTATTGACAAGAAGGAGGTGGAGCGTTACCGGAAACGCTGGCGGGAAATCAATGCACGTCCCATCAAGAAAGTGGCTGAGGCCAAGGCCAGAAAGAAACGGAGGGTAAGAAGTGGGGCTGCCTGAGATTAGGGATCAGTGGCGCGAGGGTGGGGAAGGGGTCAGCCTGACTGAGGTTCCCAAACAGATGCTGAAGAAGCTGGAGCAAACCAAGAAGAAGGCAGAAGCTGTGGTGAACACGGTGGACATCTCGGAACGAGAGAAAGTGGCACAGCTTCGAAGGTAAGGGAGGGAGGTCACCCACAAAAGTATGTGGGGTTGAAGAGTGGCAGAAAGCCTCTAACCTGTTTCTTCTATTTACAGTCTCTACAAGAAGGCTGGGCTTGGCAAGGAGAAACGCCAAGTCACCTATGTTGTAGCCAAAAAAGGTGTGGGCCGAAAAGTGCGCCGGCCAGCTGGAGTCAGAGGTCATTTCAAAGTGGTGGATTCAAGGATGAAGAAGGACCAAAGAGCACAGCAACGGAAAGAGCAGAAGCAGAAGCAAAAACACAGGCGCAAGTGAGCAGAACCACTAGGGCCTCTGAGAAGACAGTGTAAGGACGAGGAGGAGTGATTCAGTGCCGCTTACTCCAGCCTCCGTGGTATCAGCCCTACATTTCCTTGCATCACAGTTGTCTGAAAAGACAGTGAGGTGGGGTGCCTAGAACTCTCATGTTGATCCTGAGTGGTGAGCACATCCTCCTGGCTTAAAGGAGAGGTCTCTTGCTAAAGCATTGCTGAAATGTCCTGGTGGTGCTGTAACAGACCCACAACCCTTCTGTGAAGAATGTGGGGTACTGGATGAAAAGTCCTAAGGGGAAATTCAGTGTTGGGGTGGCATTTCTTAGAGTCTATTCCTGGACAAGTGGAACTCTCAAGTCTTCCCCCATTCTCTTCCACTGTCGTGAATAAAACCACGATGATAGATGTCTTTTCCGACAGTTCCCATAAGTGGTACTCAAAAAACATTGGGGTGTCGCCCATGTGCTGCAGTGTTCTAAATCATATTTAACATGTACTGACTCATTGTGAAGTAGAAATAACAAACAATCCACAGGTCCCAGTAGTAAAACATTTACTAGAGCAAGCAGAAAGGAATGCACATCTTAAAGAAACCTTCACAAAGTCACAAAATTCGAAGTATGTATATTTCTTTTCCTTTTATAAACAAGATAGAACAAAAATCATCAAAATCATTTCAGCAAAAGATTTTTTCTACCATTGTAGCAAGTTAAAAAAACACAATGAAATAGAAGACACTTTAAAAGCTGTTGCTGGGTTTTTGTTTTATAATTTTAAATTTAGCAACACTTCAGACCTGGAACCATCCTGTTTCCAGGATCATCTTTTCCCCTTCCATCATAGCAGCTCTGGCTCTGGCAGGCTGCTGCTTCCTATCTCAGGGCTTGGATACAAACCTGGCTGGGGAACCTGGGCATCAGCTCCCACTTAGAATCAGACACCTCCCTTCTCTGCAAATGTTTGGAAGCACCAAAGTGCTTCCCAAACATACCTAACACCTCAATGGACTGGGTTTGCAGAAGCCAGCTCCTAAAAAGGGGACTGCCTGGCCACAAGCTAAGAAAAATTTTATTTGTAGATGTTTATAAGATGACATTTTAGTAAAAAATACACACTACATATAATAGAAACCTAGAGTGAGTTCTGTGCCCTACAAGGCCCTTTCTTCCAAGGTATCCTCAACTGACCTCATGACAACTCACCCAGAGCCAAACAAGAGAAGCTTCCCAGCTCTCACCACTCCCAAGAACCAGAGCAGCTTCCCAAGAAAACATCCGAAAAATGATCGAGAAGAAGGGGTAATGTCTCCAAAGCTCCAGCCATCCACTAAGGGCAGGGGGTCCTTCCACCTTGGGCCCCAACCCAGCCCTGAGACACCTAGTTACCAAAAATCTTTCTAAAAATAAAATTAAAGACAATCAACTTCACACTTCAGCACGTACCCTCTAACTGTCCCACCGACTTTTCTTGCGCTTGGGTGGCTCAGGGACAGCGAAACCATCAGCTGTCTTATCTGTCTTGCTGTCCATCTTGTCCATCTTGCTGCTGTCCACTTTGGGGTCCATCTTGCTCTCACGGTTACAGCCTTCTTTCCTGCTCTCACCATTCCGACCATCATTTGCAGCTCGGCTCTCCCCATGTCGGCCTCCACCTCCTCCATGCCTGTTTTCCCCATGACGATGGCCATCAGCGTGACGGCTGCCGCTTTCTGGGTAGCGGTATCCATCTCCATGGCGACCACCATCTCCATGACGTGGGCTATCGCCATGCCGATTGCCACTCTCTCCATGACTGTGACGGCTGCCACCCCGGTTCTCAGTATATCTCTCTCTTTTCCCATTGCCACCCCCAATCCCTTCTCGGCTGTTATTCCCTGAAGCTGTGTTGTTGACTCCCTGGACTCCAGTAGAAGGGTAGGTCACTGGGGCACTGCTGAGGTTCCCAGTATTGCCAAAGCCTGGGATGCCCTTGGCGGCACTGACAATGGGGCTGTCAGGACTGTTATGGCCCTGTTGGGCTGAATTTGTTGGAACAGAATTCAAGCTCCCTGCACTAGTCCATCCACTTGCCCCAGCAGCAGAGCTTCCAGCCTTCTGGTTGCTTAAGCTAGCAGCAACAAAGTGACTCTTGTACTGTGACTAAAAGAGAAAGAGACAATAGGAGTAGGTAAGATAGTTAAGTTCAAGAAACTTGAATATATAACCTTGGCAATGATAAAGTATACAGAAACTCTATGCTATCTTGGCACTTTGACTTTAGCCTCCTGATGGCCCCACAATCCTATGGTTTCTGTGTTCTTCTATTAATGAAAAAGACTTAAATCTTGGGACTTAACTGAAACATCAGTCTGGAGACAGATAAAATGTGTAAATTAAGGCCCATCTAGTTAACTGGATGCCAGGTAGCTCACTGGAGGGGTAGATGCAGAGGAAAGATAGGTTCAGAGTTCACACAAGATACTATTACAAACCTGACTTAGCCAAAAAAGGGCAGTTGCTCTCAACCAGATTACAGTAGCCTTGGAGGTGGGCAACACTGTAGGCTGTCGAGGCTGGGAGGGAACACCAATCCTGCTGCACTACAAATCCTGCTGCAGTACAAATCCTGCTGCAGTACAAATCCTGCTGTAGTACAATGGTCCTGGGCTCTGGGTGTGACTGAAGTAGATAACCAGCAAAGAGGGGTTTCTCTATCCTCTACACCTGGCATTTCTAGGTAAGCTACACTTAAATTTATATTCAAAATGGAAAGCAGTGAAAAGACCCTAAATCCAGCATTGAGCCCACAAGCCCAGCTACCATTTCAGGAAGACCAGGCCCCTCATCACTGCCCAGGAGTTACTGTTGAAAGCTTTTAGCTAAATGCTTAATTTCAGACCTGGAAAGCTGCTTTCATTGCCGTCAGCCGATCTCCCATGGCTCCTGTGGAGGGCTTGTAGGCTTCGTAATTGCTCATTACATTGTTGTTATTTCCTCGGTCCTAAAAAATAAACATCCATTAGGATGGAAGAATAGGTAAGAAAGCCCACTGCCACAGACTGGGCGTTAATATACTGAAAAATGACATGGGAGCTACAATGGCAATGGGATATTTTTAGAAAGTTACTTATGTTTTGTGATAAAAGGTGCAGTAATGTTGAATCATTTAAAAGTGCTTATGCCTTTCAACCCAGTAATCCTATTTCTAGGAATTAACCCTAAAAATCAGCAATGAGGTCAGATTATGCCCAAAGCTAATCATGTGTTATTATTTATGCACATAAACATAAAAATTATGTTAAAGATGAAAAGGCCACAAGGCAGTAGAGCACACGCATGACTCTTCAGGCTCTGAATCCAGACCCTTAAGAGTGTGAACCTCAGCTTCAACACTTACCAGCATATAACCTTGGGTGCCTCAGTTTTATTATCTGTTACTTACTCTCACTGAGTGGTTGTGAAGACTAAGTGAAAACTGCTTGGAATATTGCAAGATGGCTTGGAACAGCCCTGCCACCCATTAAGTGCTCAATGTTAGCGATAGCTATCTGCATCATCTGCATCACCACCATCATCATCATTACTGTCATGTGGGAACAGATTATTTATTTATCAAAGACATCAAGTTAACTAAAATGCTCCAGAAATGTAGGCTGGCAGCTTTCTTCCTTGGCTTAGGAAGCAAAGTGACAAGAAACGGGCAGTTAAGAAAGCCAGTCAGGGGGAGCTTTTGTTACCTTGTCTGTGAGAAAAGCTAGCTCTTGTCTTTCTCTGATGCAATTTCCCAGATTCTAGGAATCATTCCTGAGTTTAGTTACAAGACATAGCTACAGTTTACAGAGCGACCCTATGGCAATGTCTTCCCGGCAGCAGGCTCTACGCCAGTGATAGAGGGCTTGTAAAAACACACTGCTGGGCCCCCACCTCCAGTTTCTCATTCACTAGGTCTGGGTGGAGCATGAGTTTACATTTGCTGCTGGTCAAGGGACCACCACTTGAGAACTATTGCTAATCTAGACTGACTTCCTGAGCATGCCTAGTCAGCCAAGTACACATAGGTGCTTCTTCAACAGAAAATGGTAACATTAAGAACCAGCCATTGTATTGATTCAAATCAGATTAAACACAAGTTCCCTTCTAGACAGGGTTCTGAACTCACTGAGCCTTTCTTAGGTAGACAAGAATAATCCTAAAGTCATACAGGACTCAAGACCAGCCCTAAGGGCACTACCGTAGTCTCGACTCACCGTGTTCTCAGAGCCTAGGCCAGGCCGCTCCCTGTAGCCTAGGCCTCCTCCGCCAATGTTTAGCTTTTTGCCTTTCCCTCCTTTGAAACGGGATTTCCGAAACCAGGCATTCTGCATTGAACACAAGTCAAGGTTAAGCCAAGGGAGGAAGAGGCAGCCAGAGGAAGAGTATAAGATCAAAAAAGACACTACGTGGGAGGAAAGAACCTTTTGCTTCATCTTTAGCCAACGTATTTATGGCAAGGGAAGAGCTGTTCACAAGAACCACAGATGAGCTTCTTTTTAGTAGTTTAATCCACCAAATTTGTCAGGAGGCTTAGATCCTTATGGAAGGCTTCCTTTACGCTCCTTCCTTCAGGGCTTCCAGAGAGGAAAGTGATTAAATAAGCTTCAAACGTAGAGCAGTTACTCTGGCCACTTCTAACTTCCTTGAGGAAAATGAATTTATCTTCTATTTTCTCAATCTATACACACCACTGGACATAAAAATTTGGAGCTTTTAAAGAATTGGTGGATTCAGAAGTGAAGGAAAAAGGCTGTGTGAAGTGAGGTTTAACTGACTCTAGGGGTAGATGTCCAGGACTGATAGGCATGTAACTGAAAATTCTACTTACCCATAAAGCCTAAAAGTTTTCACTGAACTTCATCACTGCTACAATACTACTCATCACATTTATTCACATTCTCTTCAGAATGCAAATGTCTCTGGGGGAGACTAGAGCTTTATCTGGCAATCACACACTAACAAAGTAAGGTATTTGAGAGTAGGACAGGCTTGAGAAAGGTGCTGATCAGGGAAGCTCATCACAGTCTGAGAGAATAGGAAACTGAGGCACAAAAAGAGACATAAAAAATGCCAAAGACAAAATGTATCTTGTTCAAAAACTGAGTTTAAGATTGGCTCTCCTACCCAGGAAAAGGAAGAACCATTATTCTCTCTCCTGCAATGCAGGTCCTTTACTCCCAGGATCCGAAGGATGGGCAGTACCACACTACAACTGCATTAAAACAGTTTTGTGGGCTGGCCTATGAATTTGAAAAACACGTAAGTCTCTACTATCAGAATGTGTATCCTAAACCCATTTATAATTTGGGGACTGCATGTAGTAAGACAACTTAAGATCAAATTCGGTAGGATGCCTCACTCATCAGTTTTGGATTGGTAATCACTGTGTCAAAG